TTACCGTCTCCATCCAGGTCCTCCTCCTCCTCCTCCTCGTCCTCCTCACTGTCCTGCCCCAGCCGCTTTGCCACCTTCTTTGCCTGCAGCTCATACCACTGGAGCCGGGGCGGCTTCTCGGCGTCGTCCCGGTCGCGAGTCACCCGGCCTCCAGCGGCCACGGGCACGGCACTCCTGGACTCCTCGGGGGGCGCCTTCCTGGGAGACAGGGACGGCTGCGCCTTGATGGCCTGCTGGATGGCCGCGTTCATGGCGTCCTTGTCCACGCTGTCCACGCCTAGCCCTTTCTCCAAGTTCTTTTCATTCATCATCTCCACTTTCCGATTCACGGCCCGCACGGCCGCCTTCTCCAGCTCCACGTGCCGCCGGGACTTGAGGTGGTTTTCGTAGGCGTTGAAGGAGGCAAACTTCTTACTGCAGACGGTGCAGTAGGTGGCTGAGCCCTTGCTCTCCTGCTCCGCCACGGCCCGCTGCGCCCGCACCCGCTCCTGGAAGCCCTCGGCGGTGACCGGGGCCATGTTGGCCACTTTTCGCCGGAGGTTGTAGCGATGCCAGTCCGTCTTGTAGTGGGCCCGCTGCATCTCCGCTTCGCGGAACACCACCCGGCAAGTGATACAGGTGTAAGCCGCCATGACCAGGCGACAGATCAGGGGCGACCAAGCCGAGGACCTAGACACCAGCGCCCTGGCCCCACCACACCCTCAGGCCTCAGCTCGCCTCAGCCGCCACGAAGAGACACTCCGCACGCCGACTTCCGGAGTCTCACGGAGGGACCTTCCGGCCACCCGTCGGAAGTTATTCCCGGCTGGGCAGGAAGTCCCGCCTCTCGGGTTGTGGACGCGCCCTCACCGGGGGCAGGCCCCGGAAGAAGAAGGAGCGCCGCGGCTGACCAGGTTCCTGCATCTGCCCGGTCGCTTGAAACCGGGTGCTTGAAGGGGGCCGCACTCTCCCGTTTACCTTTGTGATTGTGCCGTAAGGCGACGGCTGTGCGAGAAGGGGGGATGGGGCGCCCCGAGGAAAGTCCCCGGGGGATGGTCCTGCAGGCCACGCGAGGGGCGCTGGCTGCGCCGTTGGGGTCCGGGGATGAAAGTCGTGAAAGTGGAGGCTGCTGTCCAACCTTCGTGAGGTACCGGCGGGGCTCTCGCGGGGCCAGCGGGACCGACTCCTCAGAAAGAGGGAGAGGCCGGGCGGGAGGCGGCCCTTGCAGCGAAGGGCACCAGGCGGAACTCCCGGATGACAAGTAGGTGCGAACCGCGCAGCCGGTGCTGTCCAGTGGGAGCGCCCTCCAAGCCACATATGGAGTTTTGTTTTGTTTTTTTCTTATATCATTGTTTCTTTATTTCCCCTTCTTTTAATTTTTCTTTAAAATCGTGGGGTACACTTCAGGGCTAGGTATACAAATATTCACCGGGCAGGTACCCTTATCGATGAGGTGTGCCCCCCTCTTCCCCAGGCAGATATCGACTACTGTCGGTCCCACCTCCCCGCCCCCCAACCCCCTCCCCGCAGTTTCCCGCCACTTTCAATCCTTTTAGTAGTTGTTCAAGGTCCACTTGTGAGTGAGAACATGTGATACTCAACTCTGTTTCTGAGAGAGATCCCTCAGTATTATAAACTCTAATTCCATCCAGGTTGCTGCGAAGTTCATGATTTTGTTGTTCTTATGGCTGCGTAGTATTCCATTGTGTATTTGTACCACATTTTTTTTTTATCCAGTCCTCTTTTGATGGGCAGCACGGTTGGTTCCATGTTCTTGCTATTGTGAACAATGCTACGATAAACATACGTGTGCAGGTATCTTTTTCATAAGCAGCCACATTTTAAAAAAACAAGGAAAAATAGGTGACATTGCTTTTTTTCAGCTTAAACATTTACTGAGAAATTTCTGACATTTAATTTAGACTGTATCCAATTTCACACCATCATCACCCACACTTATTGCAGCTTCCAGCACTGCCTACACTCATTCCCAGCTTAATGTCTTTGTAAGTGAGCAGCTAATGTCCTTAGGAGGAGACACGGGGAGGCTTTCAGAAATATCATGTTGAAATTGCTTTTAATGATTCCTAACCATTGTTTCAATATGTCATCCATCTAAAAGAATGAATGAGCTATTTCACATTCTTTCGTTGGTTCTAAATCTTGGCAATCCAGTTTGTATTTTACAATTAACATAACGCCCCAGTGTGGACTAGCCCCAATTCAGGTGTTCAGTTACCTATGCCGTGGCTCTGTAGAACGCTTGAACTTTAAAAGGCTTGGTGAAGTCATAGATTTGTCAACTGCACAGCCTAGCCAACCAGAATCAGCCTTACTATAGAACTAAGTGTTGCATATTCAGAATCCAAGCTGCCGATAGCACTAGAAGAAGGTAGTGACTTTAAAATATATATATATATTGGTCAGTGCATGCTGATCTTTTTGCTTAAAATCCTCCAGTGGCTTCCCTTAACTTAATAAAATTCAAAGACCTTATGTTTTATTCTGCGGGGCCACACAGGATCTGCCACTTCCTCTATCCCTACCTCTGAACTGTCACACCCCCTTTTCCACCCTCTTCGCCCCACTTCTGTCAATGACACTTCAATATTCTTCTGACAAGGCTAACAAGCATTTTTGATTGGTACCAAGTCTTTGAAATCCTTTACCCTTCTGCTTGGAATATCCTTTACTTTTTAGATCTCTACCCAAATGCCTTTATAAAAGAGGCTTGTCCAAACTCACTTGTGAGAAATAGAGCCTACCCTCAACCCAAGTCCTTACCAAGCATAACTTTTCTTTGTAGCATTCTATTAGTTGTCTATTACTCTATATCAGATTAGCCCAAAATTTAGCATCAAACTTTATCTCAGTTTCTGTAAGCCAGGCCTTTGAGTGGCTTAGCTGGTAGTTTTGGCTCAGGATCTCATGAGGCTGCAGTGAACATGCCGGCCGGGGCTGAAGTCATCTGAAGGTCTAGTTGTATTTGACTGTTGCTGGAGGATCCCATCAAAGATGACTTGTTTACATGGCTGATGGCACGGTGCACTTGGAGGAGTGCCCAGAGAAGAACTACAATGTCTTTCATGACCTAGCCTTGGAAGTCACACACAGTCATTTCTATAACATTCTATGCAGGTGAGACCTATATAATGTGGAAGGGAACTATATAAGGTTATGACTACCTGGAGTGGGAGGGGTGGGGTGGTTTTAGGGGATCATTTTTGGCTATCATTAGCAATTTATTATTTGTCATGGATTTCCCAGTCTTAGCACTGAAAGTCCTGCATCCCAGGAAACCCCTGAATCCTAAATGGTTAGTCACACTACATGTTAGCATCTGCACCTAGAATATAAGCTCCATGGAAAGCAGGCACTCCTTTCATTGCGGTATACTCTAGTGCTAGAACTGTGCCACACATTCTGTATTTGTTAAATCTTTTGCATTGCAAAAGTTAAGTCTTGAGGGTGATTTTTATTCCAGAAAACTCATTTTAAGATTCTCAAAATATTTTAAATAGCTGAGCCCTCTGGACAAATAGCACTTTAAGAAATATAGCTAGTATTAGTCATCAACTGGAATAAGCAAAGCAGTGTATGTTTTTAAGCTTCAAGCAGAAGATGGCTACTTGAGGAACTTTGGGTTTCATTTTTTTTGTTTATCATTCTTACATGGCTCTTCCAGCTTCTGTTCTTCAGGTCATTGTTTCTTCCTGCCTCTTCTAATCTATTTTCATGATGCTCCCATTTCAGCATCTTTGAACTCTTCATAGTTTCTTTGCTTTTCCTCTTCAAAGGGGCATTGTTTCCTCCGCCATTCTGATTTTCCAATGTACTGCTCATTTTCTGCAGTCTCCAAGATAACCTTAGTCTTTCTCCCTAGCCTGTCCTATAGTAAATACAGATAGACTAATTTTCCTCTAGAATTTTTCTTCTTACGGTACTTGTTCTGTTCAAGAATGGTGGTCTGGGCCAGACACAGTGACTCTTGCCTGTAATCCCAGCACTTAGGAAGGTTGAGGTGAGAGAATTGCTTAAACCCAGGAGTTCAAGACCAGCCTAGGCAGCACAGCCACACCTTGTCTCTACAAAAAAAATTTTCAGAAATTAGCTGGACATGGTTGCGCGTGCCTACAGTCCAGCTGCACAGGATGCTGAGGCAGGAGGCTAGCTTGAGCCAGGAGTTCAAGGCTGTGGTGAGCTCTTATCATGCCACTGCACTCCAGCCTGGGCAACAGAGTGAGACCCCAACTCAAAAAAAAAAGAATGGCAATCTGTTGCTCATAAGATAAATTTTAAATGCCATTGCCTGGCTTTCAGTATTTCCCATAATCTCTTTCCCATGCTACCTTTTGTAGTATTCTATGGGTTTTTTAATTGATTAAGACATGCCTGCCCCTCAAGGAGTTTTGTTTTTGTTTTACAATTTGTTAGGGATGGTTAATAAATTAATTAATTAACTATAATAGAATGAAGACTGGGTCTAGTACAATGAAATATAAAGAAAAGGACAATGAGTATTTAGAACAGAGAAATCTCATCCAATTAGGTCTAAAAAGTTTTCATGAAGGAGTTGATACTTCAGATGAGTACTGGAGGAGGAGAAGATTGAGGACTTTATCTGCAAGTGAAAAAGGGTGGTAGAGCAAGTTGAAATACCGTGGAAGAAGGGAAAAAAGGACATATTTAAGAAGAGTGTATTTAGTTGGGTGAGGTGTAGGATATAGGGAAACAGGGAAAATGCATAGAAAGTGCTAAAGCTAGAGACTTGAATGCTAGCGTCTGCTGTTTATTCTTCATTTGACTAATAACAGTCAATCACAAAGTGTTTTAGTTTACAAAGGCATTAGGAATAGGACTGGGCTTTGTAGATACAGCAAGTGTATCTAGAACTGACTGGAGAAATACTGAGGAGCAGGTCTACAGCCAGTAGCTCCTTGGTAAATGCAAGCTGACTGTCCAGGGGGTCACTGAGTGTAGTCTTTCTTCAGCATGTCTGCAGCACTGTTGAAACGTGTCTAATCTATGCTGATGGTACTACTTTCAAAAATGTTTATTGCCAAACTGATCACTCTTCCAAAGAATTTAAGACCATCTATGACCAAAAAAGTTAATTTGAAAAGACTGAAAATCAGAATATTTCTGAAGACTGTGACATCGTCCTTAATATAGTTCACTTTATTCTCAACCTCTCAAGTTAGGGTATACTACACACAGTAATGTGGTTTCTGTTTCGGTCTTGGAAGACTTTGGGATATCAATCTTTGATAGTTACAGAATTTAAAAAACAGCTAATAAGTCAACTGGTATACTGGTCATCTCCTGTGACAGATTTACTACTTCACACATTCCTGTATTGCAGTGGCACCTTGGTTTTTAAAATGATAGCTACAAAGGGGATTGAGTTTGTTGAGGTTAACTTTTAGGGGATAACAAATATAGAAGAAATATAAAAGATAGCAATCATCAAATGGTTTACAGTTTCTGTGAATTCTATTCATAAAGATGTTAAGTGCTATGAGACTTTCATTCGCCAATTGTTTTTTGCTGTCTAGATATTCAGTCTTCTCTTAATTTAATAAGGAGTTAAAATTTATCACAGTGTTTAAAACTATAGATAAACTGGTTTCTAGATTATTTGAAAAAATTTTGAAATATAAAATAAACTTAAGTATTTAATATTTAGTGGAATTCTAGTAGACTAAAATTATGATTATTCTTAATGTATCAATAAATACTAGATAATGTGGTATACTGGAAAGACAGTAGGCTTTAGGGTCAGGCTAGCATTCCCTCTTACTAGCTAGGCCACCTTGGAAAATGTATTTACCCTCTTCTTCAACAAAATGTTCTTTATATCACTTAACTGTAGAGTCATGGGGATTACACAGGATTCTAACTGTAACTGAATGTGTTCTATGTCTTAGACAAAGGGTTAGCCTGCATTTCCTATAAAGGGCCCGATAATAAATACATTAGGCTTTGTAGGTCTGTGGTCTCTGTCACAACTATTCAGCTTAGCTGTTACAGCATAAAAACAGTCATAGACGATACATAAATGAATGAGCATGGCTGTGTGCTAATAAAACTATATTGACAGATGCTGAAATTTTATTCTTATTTTTTACATGTCACAAAAAAGGCTTCTGATTTTTTTCAATTGTTTAAAATGTAAAAAATCATTCTTAGCTTATACAGAAACAGGTGGCAGACCAGATTTGGCCTCTGGGCCATACATAGTTGTCAGTCCTAGACTTAAGACACATAATCCTTGCAACACTCTGTAAGATGGTGATATTATATCTTTATTTTGTAGATGAGGGAAAGAGATATGAAGTTGTTAGGTGACTGTCTCAGAGTCCCACAGCTAGTAGGTGTTATAAACATTAAAAACAACTAGTATAGAACTAGTATAGAACCTTACATGTGGTCCACAGAGTCAACTGAAATAATAGACATTTTTGCAACACTCTATCCACATATTCCACAGGGATTTATTGGACTATGAGGCTGATACAGTGATAGACCCATTAAAAAGAACCTTACAGAGTTTTATTGTAAGCAGGTACTTGTTGATTGCCTTTAATGTTTAAAACAGTGGCTTTGTTGAAACACAGGAAAAAATCAGTATCTTTGTTTTATACAGCCCCACCCCCCCAAAAGTACTTCAGATACTTTTTTTCATTCATTCATGAAACATCCCTTTGTGAGAGGGTAAGAATGAAATTCCTTATGTTTGGGGAAACTGAGGCTGTTAACTTGAGGATGTTATATGACTTTGACTAAGGCCTTCATAGTTACTTCAGAACCAGAACTTAAATTTCCAACATTCCTTCCTAACCTAAATGCTCAGTGGAAATGGAGAAATAATACACAAAATATAGTTCTGAGACTTTCTAACTTCATCTTGATACAAATGATCTAAGACAACAATATTTCAGTAAGGATTTTCAGAGTAATTTCCTGTCTTGCAAGTAACACAGCTAGAGTAAAGACATACACCAATCTAAATTATAAACATCATAAAAATGTTAAAATCACTTTTTTTCTTAAAAACAAACGTGAATTTGCTCTTTGCCTAAAATTAGAAGCATGCTGGCATTTGCCACTTTTTTTAAAAAGGAAGAAAGTTGAACTTATTTCAAATATGAGAGTGAGATGCCTAAATATGTTGAGAATATTTGCCAGTTACAAAATCTTATAAAAGTTTATTTTCCTAATATTCTCTTAAATTAGGGAGGGGGCAGTTTTAAAAAAATAACAGAAGGCAAAAGTGTTTCAGAATGAGAATATCCAAGCCTGAACTGACCTCTAAAAGCAAGCTTCCGCTACTTGAGCATTGCTTTATTGTTTCAGATCAAAATGCATGATCCATGTACGCTAATCATTGTTTAATTTTGCTCAGCACTTTCTACAGGAAATGAGCAATTTTCTACAGCTCTTAATTAATTTTTAAAAATCTATGGCTCACATTTTAAAGACTGCATTCCACTAGATCTTACAAGCCATTTTTCAGTTTTTTTTCAGATATTGGGAAAATATTGCTATCGATATAAATTCTCATGGTAAAGGATATGTAGTTCTCTACTGTACTGGATAAATCACCAGGTTTATCTGATACTACATCTTAACACCAGAAACAATGCCCCCCACCCCACCAAAACACACACACACACAAACCCTCAGTATCCCCATTTGTTTGAATTAAAAGTTTTGAGAAGAGTACCATTATTGTAGTGTGTAAGTCTGTAATCACACATTATTATACAAACATTAAAGTACATATATAGTTACAGTGCTACTGTCCATAGAGAGCTGGTATGTCTCCTCAATAGTACTGGTGACATATTTTTCTACCCTACAAACCTCCCCCCATTCTCAAACCCTTTTAATTTATAGTTTATAATATTTTGTTCTAGATTTATTATTCATATCATCACACATTATCAGCCCTTGAGTTTATCTTGTAAGCATGTCTGGTGACTTATAACACATTATTTACTTACTGGGCTTATTTAACTTCTTGTTTTCTCCTCAATGAAGAAATTGAAATGACTTGAAGCTTTTTAACTTCATGACCAAAAATATTGTTTTAAATAAAGAAACACACATAAGAAGAATCCTTGGTAACAACTATTTTATAAATAGGTAACTGTATTTTTCTTCATGTCCAGAAGCTTACTGAGTAAAATTCGGGTATATTCCTCCAAAACCCACAAATTCGGAAATTTTCGAATGCCAGGTTTCCATTTGTATTAACATGGGCAAGATAATGAAGGCACAGGCTCACTTTGTATCAATAGAGGACATCAAACACAGTCATGAGGCACTAATGACAAGCATAGTCAGTCACAAAAAAGCAAGTGTTCAAAGTCTTCGTAACTTTTCTCCCTTTAACATTTGGCAAAATTCAGTCTAGATATTTTAATACCTCAGAAAGAAAAAATAAATAAGAGATACGACATTAAAATGTCAGATTACCTATAACTAATCTTTACAAATGTAAGAAAAGGGATAAGAGGAGAGAAAGGGAACACAGATTTCCTATATTCTTTGATTATCCTTCCTTTCTGAGGGTCTCAGATGTCTTTACACATCTGTAGAAATGCCAGCTATACCTGAAGATGTAAGAGATTTTTTGTAGTTGCTGACATGGTCCCTCAACACTTAAAAGTTTGCCACAAAAACAAGACTAGCTTGGTTTCTGCTTTTTAGTCCTTTGTTAAAAACCACAAATCAGATTTGGTTATTTTAAAATGATCTTAAAACACTTAAAATAAAGGAAAAAATATATTCTATCTTCCCAAAAAGAAATAGATTACATATTTAGACTTCAATGGCAAATAAATACATCTTTAAAGCCAAGCAAGTTCCTCTTTATCTATACAGACTAAGAAAACAGTTATTTCTTTATTGCTGATGGCCACATCACTCAAAGAACAATCAAGACTAGTTTCACACTTTCAGGAAACTTTTTCCATGACATAATAGAAAAGATAAGGGTTTAACTAAAGTCTGAGCAGGCAGACTAGACCTGCATTTGCAACATCCCTATCACAAACATGACGAACAAAACAGCTGACTCTGTTAACATCATAACCACTGTCTATGTAATACATAACTCTTGCTTTCTGTGGGTTAATAGCACCCATTGCAAAACTAGAGATGGCAGTCAATGGAGCATGCCACTTTACAAGTAAGCCTAGGTCTACAACTGCAGGAATAACATGGAAATGTTTCAGTTTATCCAGAGTACTTAAATATATTTCTTAATTTTTTTCTTAGGAAATTAATTTTGATAGTATTTCCCAAGTCCTTAAACTAAAGATACCTTGATAATTTATTTTTACATCAAAATCTACCAGTTAAAAAAGCTCTCCACGTATTAGGAATAAGGGAGCTGATACAGCATGTATTAAGAATTAATTGTTAATATTTTCAGTGAGTTATGGTGAACTGTTTTTGCATGCTTGAAAAATTAATTATAAAGAAAAAATAATATTTATAGGAGAATCTTAATAATTTGGTGTTTTTTATTTTCCTTTTGCTTTAAAAACAACCCCTAATAGTTATCTCACAACACTGTGTGTGTGTGTGTGAAGTTCATTTCCATGCTTATTACATAAATATAACTATCAGTCTATCAGTGTCAGCTGATATATATCCAATTAATTCACTGCAGGAGGAAAAATAAAACAAAAATCTAAAGTAATCATTAAAGCTTACAGTTCAATTTTTTTCCTTTTTTCTTTTCTTTTTTTTTTTTTTTTTTTGCTTGTTTGAAACTTTTTGTGTGTGTGTGCTGTTGCAAGCGATTCCTAGATTAATGGCCTCCAAGTAGATTTGAAAGGAAGCCTGAAGACTTTTTACTTTGTTGTGCTTCTGCTTCCTGATCTTGTGTAAGTCCCAATTCACTCTCAATTTGATCCAGCTCTGACTGGTCAAGTAGTTCAAAGTCATCACCTTCTTCTGTGTCTGTATCCTCTCCTGGGCTGGGTGCAGCCTGAGAAAGTGCTTGCTGCACACCCTCCAACTGGTCTTTGATGGCAGCAGTCACTGCAGCTGTGATGACATCCCCAGCCAGGTTGCTCATCAAGTGAAAGGTTTGGTCACTGTTCAGAGGAAGGGTGAGACCAGCTGCTGATTGCCTCTCTTTGCACGGTCTGCGATCGCTGTCTAACTGCTCCTTCTTTCTCTTGAGCTCAGGAGGCAAGCCAAGGCTTAATTCATCTTCCTCATTTGTTCCCATGCCATTTTCTAGAGATGGAAAATCTGGAAGATCTCGAGAGAAAACTTCCTCACTGGGTCGGTCAAGATCTGTGAAGTACATAATAACAGAACTTCATGCTTAAGCACCATAACATGTTTGAAATAAAAGAGCTGTCTAAAAGATATCTGACTTAAATCTGACCCCTCTGGGTAACCTTGGCATTCATTAGCCTCCTGAGTCAGCCTGAATCAATTTAACCACATACTGGAGACCCCGCCCAATTCTATGACACTCTCTCCACAAGTACACATCGCTCCTAGAGCTCTAGCTATCCTCTTAAGCACAAAATTATGTAGATCATGACTTAAATTCAACCTTGCCTGATATTAGCTGGAGGCTCTGACTAAAGTTTAAGTGTTCACCATAAAAGTTCTATCCTTCTTAAGTATCTTAAGCCAATGGGGATATATATAATATTGAAATAAAACAAATATTTCTTTTTTTTTTTTTTGAGTTGGAGTCTCACTCTGTCGCCCAGACTGGAGTGCAGTGGCCGCTCCCAGCCACCGCAGCCTCGACCTGCTGGGCTCCAGCGTTTCAATTGGAAGTTTTTATGAGTTTTGGTATATCAAATAGAGAATATTATTGAACCTCAACATTTTCATACGAGGAAACCTGTGTTTGTTGAAAGCAAAGAAGATAAAATTCTGTTCCTTCTGTTCTGTAATCAACCCAAGAGCTTATGGAAACATTTGGCTCTTTATAAATTTAGCTGAATTGATCATACCAAGATTCAGGACATTTTTGAAAGCAATGTCAGATTCAGAGCCTGACTCATTTGTTTTTACTTTTCATAAAAAATCTTTTAGCAAAACAGCTAATTCCTTGCAACAATGACTTGGTCTCCAATTAAAGAAAACCCTTGTATGTGGGTTGGATTATTACTGTCCCTTTTGTTGTATAAATCTGAAATGGGATGCTTTAAGAACAAAGTATTTGTTATCTCAGTCTTTAAAATATGATCTCAATTGTAGATACTTAGAGCTTGAGTGAGCTTCAGTGATCCTCTTGTTTCAATACACTTTAAAGATGAGGAAATTGAGGTCCACAAAAATGATGTCACAAGGTCCTACTAGCTCGTGACAAAGGCAAGACTCCACTTGGGTCTCTCCAAACCCATTTTCTTTTAAACACTGCACAGCCTCCCTCGCTCCTTTGCTATGGGGTGGGGGGAAATGTGTGTTCTTGGAAAATAAGCATAAGACAGCTTATCTGTCCTCCTCCTTTATAATCTGCTCATGTGTTCAGTATATGGCTGAGATCACTTAATACAGTGAGACTAGCAAACTGCATTATTATACAAGTGTTGTGTCTCAGTTTAGGTTATAGATGGAATTTGTGTTAGTCAACAATATTATGCTCTCTTTTTAACAAGCTTTTTAAACTTTAGAGTCAGGTTAGAGAACTTGCCCTCCATACCTCAGTCTTTTTTTTTTTTTATTTAATTTTATTATTATTATTATTTGGGTGGGAGTCTCACTCTGTTGCCCAGGCTGGAGTGCAGTGGCACATTCACAGTCACCCCAGCGTCTGGGCTCTGGCAGTCCTTCCACCTCGGCTGGAACTATAGGGATACACTACCACACCTGGCTAAATTTTTATTTATTGTAGAGACGAGCATACCTCAGTCTTTTTTTAATAAAGACTAGGCCTGAATTATTGCTATAAGCAATTATTACTATAAACAATGGTGCCAGACATTTCAGAAAGGTTTTTTTTTTTTTAATTTCGTTTTTTCTTTTCAAAATAAAGGCAGATTTGGACATTGAGTTAGATTTTTTTTTCTCAGACTTAAATAAGTAACAGCTTTCACACCAGTTAGCACTCATTCTCCAGTCCCTCTGTCCCCCATCCCCTAGCAAGGACTAACCTATTGTCCCTTTATATGGACTTGCCTATTCTGGACATTGCGTATAAATTGAATTATGTAATGTGTGGACTCCTGTGTCTGGGCTAGCTTAATTAGCATATTTTCAAGGCTCACCATGTTACAGCAAGTATCAGTACTTCACTTGTTTTTATAGCCAAGTAATATTCCACTGTACAGATATACCACATTTTATCCATTCAGCAGCTGGCAAAAGTTAAGTATTGCATGCACTCATAATAATAAAAATAAGAGTACCCAGAAATAAGAGCATACCATCAGAAGTGTCTGTCTGTGGAGTGTATCCTTCTGAAAGATTGAAGGTCCCATTATCAGTCCAGGATACTTCAGAGACGTCTGTGTCAGACACAGATAACTCTTTGGCAGCAACCGTGAGGCTAATCTGTGTTAATATAAATATCAGTGGCACATTTTAAACTGCTGAGGGAAATCTTTTGAAAAATCTATACTAACCCACAAAACGTCAGAATAATAAAAGCCAAATGAGTATTTTTCCTTTTGAAACCAATCATCTTAAAGATATAGGAGTCTGTTAGGAAAATCATTCAGCTTTAGTACATGTAAATACATTTACAGTCAAACCACACAGGAACAAATTGAAAACTAAAAAAAATAATAATAATACCTTAGGACAAAGAGCTGAAAAGTCTAATTCACTGTCATCTTTGTGACTTTTTTCTTTATCTGCTTCTGTGGAGGAAAACAAAGAAGCTTTCAGTTTTCCTGGACAGCTTGGACATAGAATATTTATTTTATTATATATTCCTGCCTCATACTCCTTATATTCTCCAGTACCTCCAAATAATGAAATGTTTGCACATAACAGGCTTCACATGTTTGCAAAGGAAACAGTCCACATTAGTAGTTCTCTTAGTGTGGTCCCTGTACCAGTGGCAGCAGCATCCTTGGGAACTTCACAGAAATGCAAATTCTCAGGCTCTACCATAGAACAACTGAATCAGAAACTCTGGGGTGGGGCCCAGCAGTCTGCTTTAATAAGTCATCTGGTGACCGATGCATTCTAGTTTGAGACCCCATGAGGTCATGTCAGCTTGGACATAGCATATTTATTTTATATTCCTGCCCCACACTCCTTATATTCTCCAGTACCTCCATATAATTAAGTGTTTGCACATAACAGGCTTCACATATTTGCAAAGGAAATAGTCCATATTAGTAGTCTCTTAGTGTGGTCCTTGTACCAGCAGCAGCAACATCCCTGGGAACGTCAAAGAAATGTAAATTCTCAGGCCCTACCCTAGAACAACTGAATCAGAAACTCTGGGGTGGGGTCCAGCAATCTGCTTTAATAAGCCATCTGGTTGACTGACGTAGTCTAGTTTGGAAACCCATAAGGTCATGAGCCAAGTTAAAAAATTTAAAAATGAGCATATTAGTTTTTCCTGTATTTTCTTTTCCTGCTATTTTATCAATTCCCCTCCTACAATGGCTCCCACGGTCTTAGCACTACCTGTGTCAATTTTTTTTTTTTGCAGTAGTTCAACCCAAAATAAAACAAAGTTCAGTAAATTATCAATAGCAACATGTGGAGTTTTGAAGCCTTTTCTCCCTCCTCTGACAATTTGGATTAAAGTAAATTTATTTAATTGTATATCTGAGAAAATAATGAAGGCCTAAACAGGAAAAGTCTACACACACACACACATACACACACACACACACTGGTGGGGGGGATCAGTTTCTATAATATTTAGTAAAGACTAAACGTACCCTGAAATGTATTAAAGGCAATTTCATTAAAACAGCCTGCTAATGTCTTATTTCATCATAGAATCTAAAATTCAAACTTTACCTACCAGATCTCTCATGTTTCTTCTGATTAATATATTCTCCAATTCCAAAGTCTAGTTTGAGCAGGATTGACTTGATTTTGCTGTATATTTTTTGTCCGATATCATTACATTTAAACAATGGACACAAAAACGCACACAGTACTGAAATAAAAGAAGAGAAGGTAAGTAAACGCTCTTCCTTTCAAAAGGCTACAGATGGCTTAGACTTTCTTAAAATACAAGTTTCCTTACTGAAAAATTGAAGGTTCTTTTGTTTAGAGAAATGCCTCCATTAAATAAGTTTATAATGTCTATTCTTCTGTAATATAAACATTTTTCGGACACACATACACACACAATGTTCAAAATCACTGTTTTCAGACTTGCAATTAGATAACTCCCTCCACTCAGCCCTTTGACCTTCAAAACCTGTAGAAAGATATTACATGCTTTCCACACAACAGGCCTGGGTTAAAATTTCAACTCCATTTATTAAATGCCACTTTACCCTGGGAAAGTTATTATCTACTAACCGCTTAGTAATACCAGGATAATAACATTTCTTGGGGTTGTTGTGAAGTTAAAATGAGATCAGTGCAAATCATCTGACTAATGCCTTGCCCAAATTAGACTCTCATTCCCCAGCCCTCTTCTTTGAAAACAAAAGGAGATCGAGAGGTTGATGCTATATTATTGTAAATGAGATTCTGAGGATAACAGATTTGAGTTCTGATCATTTGTCGTTTGTATTATGCATCAGAAGTACAAAAAGAAACAAAGGTTGCCACACTGTATGTGTTGTATTCCTAATGTGTATTTCTTTTTTTTTTTGAGTGGGAGTCTCACGCTGTCGCTCAGGCTGGAGTGCACTGGCAGACTCACGGCCACCCCAGTGTTGACCTGCTGGGCTCCAGCGATCCTTCCGCCTCAGCCTTCCAAGTAGCCGGAACCATAGGTGTATGCTATCAGGCCCGGCTAATTTTTTTTTAATTTATTGTAGATACGAGGTCTCAGGCTGGTCTCAAACCCATGGGCTCAAGCAATCCACTCGCCTCGGCCTCCCAAAGTGCTGGGATTACAGGCTTGAGCCACCATACCCGGCCTAATGCGTACTCCCTGCTGTTAGGAAATATCCCCTATTACCTTTAAAACAGGAGTAACAAATGCAAATATCTCTATATGCCAAGGAATTATATGTAAATGTTTAAAGCCAATGTAGGAAACATGAGGGTTAGGTAAGTAGAGAGTGCCTGCCCTGTCAAAAGGTGGCAATGCCAGATTTTCAAATTCTTCAGGAGAAGCAGAATATCTACATTTATAATATTTTTTAATTATAGTTGATGCACAATAAATTGCACATTTTGAAGTGTACCATTTGATAAGTTTTGACATAGGCATACAGCTAAGAAGCCATCACCACAGTCAAGACAGTAAACATGTCTACCACCCCCAAAAGTTTTCCGTGCCTTTTTAATTCTTCCCTCCGACTTCCTTCCTCCTCTCCTTGCCCTTACTCATCTCATCCCTGGGTAACCACTGATCTGCTTTGTCACTAAATATTAGTTTGAAATTTTTAGTATTATATAGAAATAGAATCATACAATCATACAGACTATAATATTTTATCTGGCTACTTCTACACACCCAATTATTTTGAAATGTATCCATAGTGTTGCATGTATCAATTTTTAATGCTGAGTAGTAACCCATTATATGACTATATCACAGTTTGTTTTTCATTTCATCTGTTGATAGATATATGGGTTGTATTTAGCTTTTGGCTACTACAAATAAATTTGCCATGAACATTTGTGTACAAGTCTTTGTGCTTTCATTTCTCTTGGGTAAATACCTAGCTATGGGATGGGTGGATCATAAAGTAGTTCTTTAGAAACTGTCCAACTTCTCCAAAGTGATTTTACCAGGCTACTTACACACCAACAGTATGGGAAAACTCCAGTTGTTCTATATCCTTCCTAATACTTGATATGATCAGTATTTTTAAATTTTAGCCATTCTGGTGGGGGTGCAATGATATCTCATTGTGGTTTAAATAGTTTTTGAGCCACAGAACATGTACAAAGGCAAAGGTGTTGGTGTATTTTGGGGGAGTGGGGCACTCAGCTTTTTAGTTTTATTGACAAAATTGGACAAAATTATTCACTCACAATCCTGCCTTTTGCAGCTATCCTTCCTACTTTAAAATATAGACATGTCTCTATGAAAAAGGAAAAACTTTGTACAGCAGAAGTTTAAAGAATAATCAATTTGTATTATAATGAAGAATGCTCCCTCCTTTTCCAAACTGTAAAAGGTTCGTTGACCATAAAATGACACCACATGCCTCACATAAATTAGCCAAATGTTCTACTATACTTACACATTAGATAGCTGAGTATAACCCCAGGAATGTAACTTCCCAAGATCATAAAAAATGTGCACACACTGCAGACCAGGAGACAAAACTAGAAAGAGTAGAAACAACATGGGACAATTATGCATAATACCAAGACATTTTGGCGCACAGGATACACACACAATCCTACATATGCAACCTATCAGGTTATGGCAAATGTTTTTCAAGCAGCATTCTTTTGCACTTAGGGCTGACTAGTGACTGCTGCATTCAACCAGCTTTTGTCTACTTCAACATTTAATAATCATTTTGAGGGCAAAGAAGCTAATTTCTAGCACTGACATGACAACTCCCATCACTCATGCCTACGGCTATATTGCTGCCAGGTATAAGAGTGCTGAAGAATAGTATATCCGCAGAAACTTCTTTTACTCAGCATCATTTTATGAAACTAATGCAGCCAGTTAATTAAAGCTGTAAGTTCAAACTAATCACTATAAGTCCACTGAAATCCATAAAAACACAGCAAAACATATTACAGAAGTTAGAGGCATCTACAGAAATCTGATATAATTTACACAGCTGGTAGGTTGGTGGGATAAACCTATGGCCATTACTATCCCCTTTCCTAATCACATCTATCCCTTGAATTGAGCCCACTTCTAGGTCACCTAGAAAACAATTACAATAGAAGTGAAACTACAATGAAACCCGACTATTTTCCTTCTCCATGTCATTTATAGTTTAAAAAATCTTGGTTGTTTTAAGAAATTTGGAAAAAGTCTACAGAAAATGTCCTTAATTCCCATTAGAAACCTCAACCTAAAAAAATCTTCCCCATAAAGTCTTCACCTGATTTCCACCTTCCAGAATGACAAAAGTAGACAGAAGAATAGAGGAACTTGTGGAACAAAATTAAGAGCTGTTTCTGAATTTCAAGAGCAAAGGGCCCTTGAAAGAATTTGGAATTTTAGAAATGAAATGGAAAAGGAAAGGCCATAAAAGAAACAAATAAGACAATAAAAGTATTACTATATCTAGAACTTAGTTTTACCAAAGGACTTCTTATCCCCTATATTTGCACATCATTGTAAGCTAATTTACTTGGGACACATGAATGTAACCCAATGCAAAAGTTTGAGGTTGAAAATCTTCCAAAAATATGTTTCATCACTTCAGTAAAACAGGCATCAACAATACATTATGCCCCCCACCCATATGGATATCTAATCTAAAAATTACCTTAGGTGATTTTAAAAAATCTATCCAAGTACAACACTGCCACTTTAATATGCTCAAAATGTCTCCCAATAGAGTTCTATTATACAATACTACTGAAGTTATGAGATTGCCCGTACATGGTACAATGGGAGGTTTTCATTTAATTTTTATTTAAAATATCTTTTAACATAGAGCAAGGGTCTCGCTATGTTGGCCAGGCTGATCTTCGACTCCTGGCCTCCAGTGATCCTTCCACCTCAGCCTTGCAAAGTGCTGGGATTACAGGTGTGAACCACTATGCCCAGTCCCATGAGAGGAATTTTAAATGCTGACATTCCTAGCCCTTCATGCCAACCACAGGTAGATAGTCAAAGATAAAAGCAACACTAATACAGACAAGGTCTGTTGATGATTTTGTACCTCATCCAAGCTAGCAAGATAACTGGTCAGAATTAAAGCTGCCTCTACACATAATAAATAAGAAATCATGCAAGAGTGTCCACTTCCTCACACAATCCCTTTCCAACCACTTAAGACATTTCCCCTCATGGGTTTTTATCTTAATTGGAAAAGTACTCATTTTGTTTATATAATCACTATATATGAATGTTTTTGCCAAAAGACTTTTTTTTCTGAAATAAATCAGATAAGAACTCCACTTTTTTTAGACTGAAAGTGAGACTCTAGTATCTCCAAAAGTACCCTCAAAGAACCATGTTCATTTCATCTCCCTCTGACCTCAGCACCAGGCTAAAATGATAACCGGCATTCTTTTTTCCCCCCAGGGGACAGTGTGAATGTAGTCCCCCAATACCATGAATATTGCAGTCGAATTTTCTGCATTTGGGGAAATCGCAGGGGTCAGCACACCTGGAGTGCAATGGGTGAGCCTCACCCTGGGAAAACCACCTTTGTCATCATGGTGTCTCCTTACCAGGTAAGTATAACTGAAATTCTTAAGACTTTGCTTCTCCTTGGTCTGGCTGATAAGACCAACCACCACTCATTCTAGTTAAAGAGCCAGATAAATCTGTATAAAATATAAAACCACTCCAATTTAAAAATGTGAGGCTGAGGATTCTCTGGTAGTCATACACTAACATTTCTGAACCATGCGGATATCGGCTTTTATGGCATATGCGTGTGTTCCTAGTATATTATATTCAGAATTGGAGAACCCTTATAAGCTGATAAAGGAAGTTCGTTCATTTGTTTCCAAGTACCTCGCATATTTTAAAACACACTCCTGTACTAGAAAACTTGCCTTGCCAGGGCTCTGCTGTTTAAAAAGAGACATTTCTTGAAGAAATATGCTGAAATTCATCCATGATTCTGCAATACAGTGGCTGAGTCTGGGTTTCTCATCTGGTTTGATAACTTCCCAGCTAAAGAGAGAAAAAGACAAAGTAAATGAACTTTAGATGATTCATTCAACATTCATGGCTTCAGCAAATATTATTTATTAAGTATCTACTGTGAGCCACATACTCTAGAAAAGCCCCGTTAATTCAGAGGTGAACTAACCAGGTACCTGTTTCAGAAAGCTCACATGTAAAAAGACAATTAGCAGTATGATTAATTATCCAGTTACAACAAGGGAAATGCCGAGGGAGGCCAGGGTGGGGCTGTGGGACATCTCTTCTGAAGAAGTCATTTAAACTTAGATCTGAAATGGATCAGCCATTAACCACAAGGCTTCCAGACAGAACAATGTATAACCGGCATGTCCAACCCACAGCCCGTGGGCCGCATGAGGCCCAGGACAGCTAGTGATGTGGCCCCACCAAATCTTTTAACATCATGTGTTTTTTAGCGTTTATTCTCTGTCACCCCATGCATAGTTCCATTTTTCAAGTTCACAGTCACACCTTATTCATGACATCGCTTTTTGGCAGCATATATATTTGTCAGCAGCTATTTTCAACTACGTTGCACACAAAGCAAGATTCAAACAAACATTTCTGTCAAGCACCTGAAGAATGCACTAAGAATTGCGACCACTTCCATCGAACCAGACATTGATAGGCCAGTTTTACAAAAACAAAGTCCAATTTTTCACGAACTTTATATTTTTCTCATTTTCTAAACTTCATAATAACAAATACAAAAAAACCCTCTTATTATGTATATACACACTAGCTATATTATATAATTTACGTGCGGCCTAAGACAATTTCTCTTTACTTGATACGGCCCAGGGAAGCCAAAAGGTTGGACACCCCTGATGTACAACGTACGCAAAGGCCCCAGAGTGGGAAGACGCCAAAAGCACTAGTCTACTGAGTCCTATGTGGCTCCAGAAACTGAACCAGGAGAAGAAAAAGACATGAATCTGGGGACGTAGGAGGGAACTCAATCATGTAGGACTTATAGGACTTGTTAGAAACTTGTTAAAGCTTAAGAATTGAGAAACCACAGTACTTTTAAAGAAACCTAGGCATTAAGCATATAATTATTATTAATAATAAACACCAATAATGTGTTTTCAACATACAACATAATTGGTCACCTCTACAGAAAAATGTTAAACTTAACAGAATCTAACAATACCCCCTTATTTTTCTGGAGTACCTTTTCCCAGTCACCATCTAGAATAAGGTGAATATGGCGCATAAGCCAGCCACATGCTGTGTCTCCCTGCCCTCATTTTTCCACAGGAAGCTCAGCAAGCTAAAAACTAGAAACAAGCACTCCAGGAAGAAGACGCAGGTAAATACATGCCATTCACTAACAAAGCTATCAAGCTTAATTCCCACTCTTGCCTGCTGACTCATAAAGCCATACCAGTTCAAACAAGCCCCATTAAGGGTCCTCAAATTCACTTATGTAAGAAATAACTACAAGGGTACCTGCATAATTAACATTTGTATACTTAACCCTGAATTGTACCCCACATCTTTAAAATTAAAATTTTTTTTTAAAAAGGGCACCCCTTCAGGTACCCTCCCACTGTGAGGGCTTTCTGTCCTCTCAATAAATCCTGCTTTCTCCCAAAAAAAGAAGAAAGAAAGAACTAGTGTCTACCATATGGAAGGCCCTGCTATAGAGCTATAGTTACAGCAGTAAACAAATGCAGCAGAGTTTCTAGCAGGAGACAAGAATTGCTAGTGAACTATTATCTGAGCTATGACTAATAGGACATCAGGATGAGGCTGATCTCCAGATTCAATTCCAGTAGCCCTAAAAGAAATCAAAGCTACCTTGACCGTTAGATGCTCAACTACACAGAAACCACGTACATACAAGTTGTTACTTTTTAATATATTCTGAATTGTCAGGCAACTTTTAAATTAATTAAAATTCCTTTTTTAAATATAAATTTTAATCCAAGTTCAAGTGAAGCAATAGCATTTTAAAAGGGGGAGAAGACCAGCCCGGGCAACTTGGCGAGACCTCATCTCTACAACAAGTCAAAAATTAGCCCGGCGTGGTAGCGCGTGCCTGTAGTTCTGGCTACTTGGAAGGCTGAGGCGGAAGGATCGTCAGAGCCCAGCGTGTTGACGCTGGGGTGGTTGTGAGTGTACCACTACACTCCAGCCTGGGCAACAGAGTGAGACTCCAACTCAAAAAAAAGGAGGGGGGGTGGAGAAAAAGATGCCATTCTCCTTCCTCTTTGTTTTATCAGCTTCAGCTAATACTCTGGAGAGTCACTGAGCTACCTGTTATCCAGGCTGATGTTATTTCTCCAGTAGACATTTGCCAAATGACTTTCCGCCTGTCCTAAGAAATGAACTTTTGGGGATGTCTAGCTGTCAGGTTTATGTATTCGTTATCTTTGCCCTCCTCTCGAATCACTGAACAAACCTATTTTCATTGGTAACCAAATCAGGCACCAGATTTGCATATCCCATGAATGATTCCAGACTTATTTGTGCATGGATAAGAAGCCGACATCCATAACAAAATCTTGCCAATATGTCTGCTTAATGGGAAAAGATTTTGCACAGAAGAGCAAAAGCTACATGGCAAAGGAAATACTAAACTGATTATTATTCATCAGTTTAATAACTGATCTCTTCACAGCACAACACAAATTTGCTGCAAATTGGGGTAGACAGGCTAGGCTACTGTTCAGTTTAATGGGGCCCTGAAGATGACAGAAAACATTTTAATTTCTGCTCTCTATGCATATTGAGTAGTTATTTAAGGATTAGTTGAACTGTTTGTCAAATATATATAATTCCAACAAAAATTAATGAAAGACTTATCCTGGGAGGACCAGCTTATTGTTCTTTTAAAGATTAAAAGGAATAAACGAACAGGACATGGAGTGCACACCTGTAATCTCAAGTATTTGGCAGGCTGAGGCAGGAGGACGGCTTGAGCCCAGGAGTTTGAAACCTGCCTGGGCAACATAGCGAGACCTCATCTCTACAAAAATTAAAAAACTTGACAGGCACAGGATCGCCTGAGCCCAGAAGGCCAAGGTTGCCGTGAGCCATGGTTGTGCCACTGCACTCCAACTTGGGTAACAGAGTGAGACCCTGACTCTAAATAAATAAACATAAAAAACAAATGGAATAAATGAACATGTCATATTCTGAAACAGATTTAAAGTATACTTTCATCAGGACAATGAACAAATAAGATGAGTCATGTTCAAGCAATGGAAGAACAAAAAGCAGTGAAAATGAATGATCTCCAATTCTGTGTCTGTGTATGGACTGCACAATCAATACTGAGAAGGAATACACCACAGAAGACATACACAGTATGATTTTATAAAGCTCGGAATCACAGTAGGTGAAACATTATGTAAGCAAGGAAATGATCAAAACAAAATTCAGGGGCTAGATTACCTCATGTGTGGGGCAGAGACAGTGACATGATAACAGTTATGTGGGAACTTATTAGGTTTTTGTCTTAACTTAGGTGATGGGTATGTAAGAATTGACTTCCTACTATTCTGAGAGCTATCACATATATAGGTATATGGATGTGTGTGTGTGTGTGTGTGCGTGTGTGTGTGTATACATATATGTGGCATTTTTTTTAAAAAATACTTTGATACCCAAATGTATACTCATGCTTTTTATTTCATAAATAACATTCTTACACGAGTATATCTCACTTTACATTACATTATCAAAATACCAGTGTTACTAGTTTTTGCCTTAGTTTATTTATGAAATAAGAATAATATTTCTTCTGGCTAAAACCATGATAAATCATTTTTTGAATGAATGGTACTCTGTATAGATACTGGAACTTTGTTCTAATGCTTCATCTAAGATTCATGTCTAGGAAATAATACCATATTTGTATATGCATAGTTTTATTATTATTGTAAGTAAATGCTCTAAAATTGGATAGAAGCCTAAGTCTAGGGTCAATTACCATATACTCAATTACCATCATAGAGATAATGTCAGAGCAAAGACAACATGTAACTTAAGGTGTTTTATAAAAACTGCAGTGAAATAACTAAATCTATTTTCCACAGTGGACTTCAAGTAGATACCATCCACCCACTGATTTATTCAATAAAAAGTTATCAAGTTCCTCCTTTGTATCTTGCATTATATTATATATGTAAAATATGATTATTTCAAAAACTTGAATGCCTGTAGCATTATTCTTTTCTCCATGTCAATAGATAACATACTTGCTGGGAAAAAGAAATAAGAGGATATAACTTGTAACTATATTCCATGGCCATAAGAAAATGCTCTTAATTCTATTCAATTTATCCCCTTTGAAAAGTCTCATGTCACAGTTTTTTGGAACAATAAATTTCATCATTATTTACATTTAAACTAACATAATAGCAAATAATTATTGTAGACATGTGAATTGTTATCATTACAAACAGATATAAGAAATTCATTGTGGAACAACTTGAAAACGTTATCTAACCAAACAGGCTTTGGAAAGAGTAATAATCAACTGAGTAAAAATAAATGTTCCTACTATGCTGAAAAAAATTCAATGGAAATATATATGATTTAATAAGAAAATCTGAACTCAAGAATGAAGAAGAGCTATCACTCCACACTTCTTTAAATGAGACACTGACCCAAAAAAGGTGCTCTCTGGGAGTGTAATAATAGTTTAAAATTGTCTACTGATTAATTCTGAGTACCACAGGAACACACATTTTTATAGTCTTCCAGTGATTCTGTTAATTTATGTCACCACAGTTCAATTTAGCTAATATAAAATTATATAACAATTTTGAATGGGATGGGAAATTTGATGTCACCATTTCAAATTCCCTTGTTTTATAGATGAAGAATGCAAGTTTTCTCAGCTAATTTGGGGCAAAGCCAAGACTCCTGATTTCCAAGACAGTTCTATTCCTTTAAAACATGGGCCCTTTTCAAAGGATGAATAAATTCAGTGACATCCTTTGAGGAGACCATGTTGTAATTCAGAACAAGGAGGA